GTGAGTAAAGGGTCTGAATACTTAAGTACATGTGATATTTGTTTTTTCTTTTTAATAAATTGGATGTGGAAACAGACTGGAAGTTTTCTTTGCCATTAATATATACTAGGCTCATCAAGCCGAGCATAGTCCGCCAGCCATGTTTGTGAGTCACCAGTCCATTTGGCCCTTGACAATTCCCTCTTTATGGGGTGTCATTTATGAGGGTGTCATTCATGGTTGGTGTGCTGCATTTCTCTTATTGGCCTATAAATGAAACAGGCCTGATCTGCACAGATATTTGGTTCTGCCTGAGCTCTGAGAACATTTTAAAGAGAGTGGGAAGTAAGTTTTCTCAACCTGGCAATTCCCCAATCTGGCAGTCTCTAGAAACGTTGGATAATTGTTTTTGTAATTCCCAGATGGCCCAGCTGATTGAGGATTACATAAAATATCTGGTGGCTAGGGTTAAAACATATAGATTTGTTAGATATTTGTTTATTCATTCAATTTGGATGCCTAATATCCTATCTTTTCTCCAAGAACTCAAGGTAGCTTAGATGAGGAGCTCCCCACAAAAATAACTGGGCTGAGAGAGAATGAGTGGTCCAAAGTCAACAAGTGAACTTCCATGAATAAGGATGGACATGAACCTGGAGCTCCCCAGTTCTAGTCCAGGTTCTTTACCACTATACCAGCTGGCTCTTTGTCTTACCATCTTTACTCAAAAATAATCTAGTATTGCCCCCAACTATATTCAGCATAGCAATATAACTACTTCAAGCAAGTGGCAAGTTTTTAAAATATGTAGATAGGTGCAAAAACATTTGCACTGCTTTCATTTGTCTAGAAGCAGGTCCTGAAAGTAATAAGATATTCCTGGCAGCTCCCCTCCCCACATCCATTACTGGAATCCAGTCTGCTTTAGCTTTTCCTTGCAATTTTACAGGTGCTATAAACAAATGGCAGAAATGGAATGGGCGACTACCTGCACGTATAATAATATACCGGGATGGTATAGGAGATGGGCAGTTGAAGATGGTGGTGGATTATGAAGTCCCACAACTGCTAAGCATCCTTGATGAATACAGTGGGGGTTGCAGGTAAATATTTCCTACCCTGCACCAGGCTGGTGGTATAAAACATCAGACAGCCGCTTTTCCTCATGGTGCTCCATCCCTGTGCAAACCACCCACTCTCCAAATTTGGAAGAGCAAAGGAGAGGAGAACTTGCAGGGTGCTCATGATTCAGGAGCACCTGCAAGTTCTCCTCTCCTTCCCTCCTCTTGAATGAATTCTCCCTTCTCTTTTTTTTTAGGTTATACCTGGTTGGTGCTATGTTTGTACTATCTTGGTTTTTCATAAGTCATGGTTTACAAACGGAGTCATGCAGACAGAGGAAAATTTAGCTGCCGGCATTTCTGTTCAGTAATTATACAGGTAGTCCTTGACTTATGGCCACAATCGGGACAGGAACTTCTGTTGCTAAGCAGTGTGGTCATTAAGTGAGTTGTGACCAATTTAATGACTTTTTTTGCCATGGTCGTTAAGCAAATCACCACAGTCATTAAGCAAATCACATTTTTAAGCAAATCTGGCTTCCCCCATTGACTTTGCTTGTCAGAAGCCCCCTGGGAAGGTTGCAATGGCAATCATGTGACCACGGGGACACTGCAACCATCATAAATACAAGCTGGTTGCCA